AAAATATATATTGTGTGTTTGAGTGGTCCAGACGCTACATTCTTTTGATTTAAGTGGGCCCACAATGTATTTGGATAAGTTTTTTTTTTTTAAAGATGATGTAAAGATGAATGTAATTGCATTAAAAAGTACCTAACACCCTTTGCAAAAATAATTTTGTTAGGTTTTAAGTTAAATACCAAATATATATAGTTTAAACTTTGAACTTTTCAAATGATAGTGGTTACTTTGCACATTTGTGAATTTGAGGGGAACCCACAGGTATTCTGTTAATACAGGTGCCATCTCAAAAAAATTAGAATATCGTGAAAAAGTTCGTTTTGTTTTGTAACTTATTTCAAAAAGTTAAACTTTCATATATTCTAGATTCATTACATGTAAAGTAAAACATTTCAAAAGTTTTTTTGTTTTAATTTTGATGATTAGAGCTTACAGCTCATGAAAGTCAAAAATCCAGTATCTCAAAATATTAGAATATTTCCTAAGATCAATTAAAAAAAGGATTTGCAAAACAGAAAAGCTCAAGTTCTTTAAAGTTTGTTTATTTATACACTCAATACTTAGTCGGAGCTCCTTAAGCACAAATTACAGCATCAGTGAGGTGTGGCATGGAAGCGATCAGCCTGTGGCACTGCTGAGGCACTATTGAGGTTTCTTTAATAGTGGCCTTCAGCTTGTCTGTATTGTTGGATCGAGTGTTTCTCATCTTTCTCTAGAAAATATCCCATAGATTGCATATGGGGTTCAGGTCAGACATGTTGTCTGGCCAATCAAGCACAGTAATATCATGGTCAGCAAATCACTTGGAAGTGGTTTTGGCACAGTGGGTAGGTGCTAAAGTCCTGCTGGAAAAGGAAAGCAGCATCCCCATAAAGCTTGTCAGCAGATGGAAGCATAAAGTGCTCCAAAATCTCCTGCTAGACGGCTGCATTGACTCTGGACTTGATAAAACACAATGGACCAACACCAGCAGACGTCACGGCACCCCAAATCATCACTGACTTCGAAAACTTCACACTGGACTTCAAGCAGCTTGGATTCTGTGCCTCTCCAGTCTTCCTCCAGACTCCA